AAATGTACCAATTGCCAAAACTCACTGTTGTTAATTAAGTCAAACTCAGTGATGATGTTGTTGTTGTGTGCCATCGAGTCAGAAATGACCCACACTCTGCAGCAGGTTTTCAGAGGCAGTTAATCATGGAAAGATACTAACCATCTTTCTCCTGTGGAGCAGCTGGTGGATTCATTCAGTGACTTTACCTCAAACTCTGCCATTTTCAAGTACATGGGTGTGGTTAGTATGTCCATCAGTTTCACTGAGGATCTTGCTCTCAAAACCCATTAGACAATTTTTTTAAAAAGTTGTATTTTTTTAAAAAAATCAAATTGACTCTGATTCCCGATTGGCCTATATGTTTTAGGGTAGAACTGTGCTCCACTGAGTTTTTTAAGAACCAAGTGTTTGGAAGTATATCACCAGCTCTTTCAACTGAGGTGGTGCCTCTGCGTGGACTCAGACTTCCACATTTTTGGTTAGACATCCGGTAGGTTAAGTGCTTGTACCCTCCCTGGAGTCCTATTTGACCATAGCACCCCTTCTTTTTGTCTTAAGCCCAGAACAAAATCAACCACTATCAAGTCAATCCTGACTCATTGTATTAAGTTTCCTGGGTTTTAGATCATTACAGGAGGTGACATCCATCTCCCGTGGAACAGCTTGTGGATTCCAATTGCCAATACTAAAATTTTGGTTAGCAGCCTATTACATTGCACACTAAACCACTAGGGCCCTTTTTTTCTGTGCCAAAAATAATTTGTTAATGCTCAACCATTTCATAAAGTAAGTTGTGATTGTCAAAAGAGCAAGGGCTACATGGAGACAGCTGTATCTGATCTTTACCAACTTTACACTGGGCAACTGTCCCTGTCAACAGCATCAATACCAAAAACCCCAGTATCCCTGAGGTCATATATGTCCCTTCACACTACTGTACCTCGTTCTCTTTATCTCAATATAATCTTACTGATTTACTGAGTCCAAATCCTGGTGTGGTCGCTCAAGGACCTTGGGCTCCTTTTTAAAAACTAAAAGTAACATTTAATAACATCCTATGAAAAAGTGTTCTGTGTAATTACAGTGTTTCTCTATTCAAAACTGCTACCAGGTCTGAAAGACATCTGCAATATGTTTCTGTCACAATCTGTGTTTTATAAAGGAATGATGGACAGCAAGGATAATGGATTCAGGTTTGGCTGAGAAGTACAAGAAGCTTATATTAGTGACTCAGGAGGTCTGCAGAGTGCAGGAGAACTCCAGTTTGAATCCCAGCTCTGCCTTTTATTTGTCAGGTAAAACTGGAGACATAAAATTTCTAGGATTTAGTCTTTCATCAATAAGACAGAAATATTAGATATTGTCTTGAGGGGCATGAAAAGGATTTGAGATAATTAATTTAATGCATCTGGTACAGAGTAATTGTCCAATAAAAAAAGATAGTGTCTTTATTCTATTCTTCTGTTTCTTTCTTAATACAACTTTGCCCTCAATTTGCAGGACTAGAGGCAAATATAAAACAAATCCTATTTATACTAAAGGAGGCTAATCATAGCATGGTCTTTGATGTCAGGCAAGAGTGTCTTTGACTTCTGCACCTATTAACAGTGTGGCTTTGGGCATATTAATTAATCTCTCTAAGTCTCAGATTCAACATTGGTCAAACTAAGGTAAAGTGATCAACTACACTATATAGTTGATAGGAGATTGTGAGCTAGCAGATACCAAGTGCTTAGCACAGTGTCTAGGGCAGAGTGCGTATTCAATTTATAGCATGTATTAGTATCATTTGTCTTGGTCTTACTGTTTATCAGCCCACATGGATCAAATAAGGAACAGGGAGAAGAAAGCACTTCCCTAGGCTTGCTCACACTTCTATAGGCACTTAACACATCCCAAAAGTCATCCTCTCCAGGTGAGGGGTGGCCTGATGATACGTGGAGCATTAGTCTATATTACAATAGCATTTCAGAATAGAAACCCACATGCTGTTTCTTATCCTGGGAGATTTGCTGCCACACCTACCCAAATGATGGCAGATAGAAAGACTCCATGCCTGGAAGGATGGCTCACATTTTAGCTTCTTCGTGCAGAAACTGGGTGTGTGACTAAGAAGCACCAAGTAGCAGCCTGCTCATCAAGTTCCAGTTCCTAGACTAGATAAAGACCTTCAAGGCAGTGGGAAGGAGGCTTTGGGGAATGAGAGGGGTTAGAAGCAGTGCAAGTATCCTGAGCTCTGCCTTATCTCCCTTCCAAAAGGAAGCACCTTCTTTACCTCCTCAAACCCTGAATGAAGTGAAATGGAAGTCATTCCAATGACTGGGTTGCACTTCTCATCTAAAGCAGTGAAGGCTACAAGTCATGTAAAAACCCAAAATCCATTTCATTGAGTCAGAACTGGCTCATAGCTGACCTTCTATTAGGTTTCCAAGGCTGTAAATCCTGAGGGAGAAGATTGCCCGTCTTTCCATTGAGGAGCTGTGGGAGATTCGAACCGCCAGAGGGGCTAACTTGGAGTTAGCAGTGCAAATCCCAATGGACTGCATAATCAGAGTTCCCTATAAAGCATGAAAGGGCAGAAGAAATGACAGTGTGGTGCACCAAGCTCAAAAGGTATCAAAATTTGCCTTTCCCCAGCCTCCTTCCACTGGAGAAAGGAAGTAATGCCAAATAAAGGTATGTAAAGTGAACAGAAGAGAAGACAGGTGGGCTTGGTGGAAGGTGAACATGTTCAGAAGGGGCAGAGGCATCTGCAGGAAAACAACAGTCTACACAGAAACAAAACAAAACAAAACAAAAAACCAACCAGACCCATTGGGCCAATTGGCAACATCATGATAGATGAGGAAGAGATTGAGATTTTTAACAGCTTTAGTTTGCTTGGCTCCACAATCAACACTCTTGGTACCAGCAGCCAGGAAATTAAAAGAAAAATTGCACTGGAAGAGTCTGCTGTCAGAGAACTCTCCAGAGTACTGAAGAGCAATGATGACAGTCTGGAGACTAAGGTGTGCCTGATCCAGGCCATAGTCTTTGCAATTACATGCTATGCATCTGAGAGCTAGACAATGACTAGGGATGATAGAAGAATTGATGTCTTTGAGGTGTTGTGCTGGAGAAGAGTATTGAATATACAATGACTTTCTAAGAGAACAAACAGGCTCATTCTAGAGAGGGTGAAATCAAGCTTCTCCTTGGAGACAAGGATTCTGAAGCTTCATCTGACATACTTTGGGCATGTTGCTAGAAGGGACCTGTCCTTGGAGAAGGACATCATGCTTGGGACGATGGAGGGACAACACAGGAAAGGAAGACCCTCAATGAGATAGATTGAAATAAGATGTCCCCTTTATCTCTGAACTTTGCACAATCCCTCAGCTGTTTCTAACTGATATGAGAGGAAATGAGGAAACCAGGGAGGGAATTGTAAACCTGAACATGGCCAAATTATGGGCCTGAATTACTGGAGAAATCAATGTACTCTACTAGATTCAGAAAAAGTGTAATAAGCTGCCTACCATTTGTAGCAGTGTTACAGAAATACTTTTCCTATGTGTTTGTGACCTTCTGGCACTGTGGGCTTACACAGTGTATTTATGCCCTAATAACCTTATTCTAGTTCTTCTCTAAGGGGTGTAAAAGATCTTCTCTAGGGGGTGCAAAAGTTGAGTCAACCCAGAAATGCCTCAGGGGAAGGGGAAGGGCAAGGACATCCACTCATAAACCAGCCAATGAAAATGCTATGGAGTCCAGGTCAATTGTGATACACATGAACAGCAATTGGTTGGTTGGTTGACTGGTTGGTTGATTCATTGACTAGATGGACTAGTGGTTGGGTGATTGTTTGATAATCTTGTCCCAGAGCAAGTGGATTCATTAGAGCCATTTATTCCACAGCAAAGTTAAATAACCAGTTATGTAGTTATTTTTTGTATGTACTGTTGAGTTGGAACCAACTCATAGCTGACCCTCCAGCAGATTTTCAGAGGCAGTTAATCTCACTGGAGGAAATGGCCTATCTTTCTCCCTCGGAGGAGCTGGTGGATTTGAACTGTGTACCTTTGAGCTGATAGCACAATTTCTTATGACTAGTCCACTAGAACTTCCTGTTAATGATATTAAGTGCATACAAACAATGAGAAATGTCTTGATGTTACTTACCAACTAGAAATATCACGAAGGAAACCAGGGCTAGGCTGACTATCAGAACGATGATCAGTCCCACAAGGAACAGACTGTGGTTTCCATTTCCTGAATTCGAGTGGAAGGCCGGGATTTTGTCTTCTAGAGCTGTGTGAAACAGAGACAACAAGAGTAACACCAATAACTACCCAGATACAAGCTGCCAGGAAAGCTGGACAGTCTTCCACTGTCAGGGCAAAAGGAAACATCTTTTCCCCTCTGATCGCCCTGAAGAGTGACTTAAGGTTTAGGAATATTAGCAATTCTTTGTAAATGGTCTTCCTTCTTCTGTATTGGCATTCACAGAAGAAGTAGGTTACTCTATCTTTTTTAGACCTGTTTGGAAGATCTCTTTAAGGTTCTGGTAGTTTTTCTTTTTTGGAGGGAATAAAGAAGTTAAGAGTTAAGAATGGTAAAAATGCCATTTGCCTTTTTCCCAGGGTGACTCAGGAGTAAACAGGGCTGACTGTGGGACACCGACTATGGATAGACGGGGGGACTCTTTTGAGATATCTGCAGGTATCATCTTTCTATAACGGGATAGTCAGTTAAGCCTACACGCTTTTAAAAAAAAATTATTACTTTTTGTATGTGTGTATTGTCAAATCAGATCTGACAGGTACAGGAGGAGATTGCCCCTCCTTCTTCAGCAGAGCATCTAATGGATTCAACCCACATACCTCTGGGATTGCAGTGTACCGTCTTGCCACTAGACCCTACACGAATTTTTTTAAAGTCCCAAATGTATCCTTTATTAAATGAATTTTAATGCAAGTTTACAGAGACTTAGAGTTTCCAGTCATTCAATGTTGCACTTTTCTCCCTACCCACCCCTCCCCCCATTCACTCCTCTCCTTGAAAGGGCCCAAGTGTATCTTAAAGAACCACAACCAATACACTTAGTACCAGCAGTCAGGAGATCCGGAGACATATTGCATTGGGAAAGTCTTTAGGCAGGGACCTTCTGGAATTATTGAGGAGCAATGATGCCAATTTGAGGACTAAGGTGATGTATAGAAAGGTGGAAGGGTGATGAAAGAGAGGAAGACCCTCAAGCAGGTGGATTCACACAGTGACTGTGGCGACAGGCTCAAGTAATCAGCGATTGTGAGGATGGCACAGGATAGGGCAGGATTCAGATATGTTGTTCACAGGGTTGCTATGAGTTGAACTCAACTTGATGGCACCTGATATGAACAATGCCAGAATAAGTTAAACATTAAGCTGCTAATAGGTCAAGAGTTTGAATCCACCCGTTCCATGGGAGAGAGATGAGACAATCTCCTCTCACTAAGATTTACAGCCTCAACAACCATTGAAGGGATCCTGTGCACTAGAATTGACAGTGACAATGGGGTTGTTTTGTTTTCAAGCTCCTTTGGGGAAGGAGAAAGGTTTTTAATGGTTGTGGTGCTCTATTAGCATGATTCTTTACATATTTTATAATTAAACAGCTTCATTTACCCAAACCATCAGCTGTCCCATTTGGTCACTATCTTGTGAGGCTTAGCTGCCTAAATTGAGGAAGAAATGTGAGGCCCATGGCTCGTCCGGTTACTGGACTTATCTCTGCCCCTAGTGTCTATGCCGAGGGAGTGGCAAACGCCTCCTACTGTGTAAGCACAACACGTGCCATCCCTCAACAGCTTCTGCTTTGTTCTCAAAGCAAAAGCAGAGGAGGCTGGCATGCAAACCCCCACTTCTAAGTAGAAAGAGGTGATGTCTGGGACATATTAAAATGAAAGGAGGGAAATCAGGAACTCAGAAGAGATTTTAAAAGGGTCCAGTAGATATAAAGTTGATAGTAAAACCATAATATGTAGAGAAAATGAATGTCAAGCAATTAGCTTCTGTGCTTGAGGGTTGGCATTTAAGACAGAAAAGACAGGTCTTAGAGCTATCTGGTCAAGCTCATTTGCATATTTTGGTATCTTTAGTAATATAATTAGTATTCAACAAATTTTGGGTTTGCTTTATTCACCTTTCCCTTTTTATTTTTTTTTTCATTTATTTATTTTTCATTTCAATGAACATCTACAGAGATTTTGGAATTCCATTCATTCAATGTTGCACCCTTCCCTTTTTATTTTTAACACACTAAGGCATTTGGCAATTTATGAATAGAAAATGAAGCTGACATTTTTACTCAATGGGATTTTCTTTCTTTTTTTTTTAAGTTGGGTGAAAAGTGTCAAAGACCTTTCTCAGCTGTTATTTCATTTGACCTTCCTGGAAAATGGGCACAGACAGTCACTAGCCTGGCCATGCTCAGTGAAGGTGGCACCATTGAAAGGCCAAAAACCCTTCAGGGTCTTCCCAGAAATGCTGGGGACAAAAGTTCAAGTCTTGGTTAGGATTCAAGAAAGCCTATAAGCATATTGAGTAGTTCAAAACCAAAAGCAAACGTTGCCCTAACAATAAATAGCATTTCTAGTGCCAAGCCTTTCCTAGTGCCCACCTGCCCCACCATGCCCACACCTGAAGGTTTGGGGGTTTTTCCCCACGGGAGCTAGAAACTGAGAAGGACCCCTAGGCCTGAGGGGTGGGGGTGGGGAACACATACGGAACAGACGCTGAGATCCGGCAGGACAGAGGTTGAGTTTGTTTAAGTCATTTATAGAGTCCACAACATAAAGCTTCCCATCTTCGTGAATGCCGGGGGAGCCAGTGTCCTGAGAAGAATGAGTCATTGTCCCTGAGAGAAAAGACGTTAGACACAGGCTTGGGCTGGGAATCCAATTCCACAAGCATCGCAGGCAGTAGGACGCTGCTCAGGCATACAAAGCATCACCCCCACACACAGGCATGACCGGGAGGCATAGCAGATTTGGTTCCAGGTCGCCACAGCAAAGCGGTGCTGTTCGGGCGTGTTAGAAGGAGCCCATCTCTGGAGAAGGACGTCATGCTTGGAAAGGTGGAGGGTGAAGGGAAGAGAGAAGACCCTCAACAAGATGGATTGACACAGTGACTAACAAGGGACTCGAATATATCAGAGATGATAGTGGCACAGGATAGGGAAAGGTTCAAAGCCATTGTTCCTGGGGTCTCTATGAGTCGTAGTCAACTTGATGACATCTGACAATAAACAACCGCATACTCTATAATCTTTCCCATTGAGTCAAAACCAACTGATGACCGACCCTCCAGTTAGTCTCTGAGGCTGTAAGTCACTCTGGAGAGGAGTTCCCTTCCTCTTCCCTGCATGGCTGCTCTAAGTTCAAGTTTATGGTAATATTTTCCAATGATATTACAACTTTAAGCCACACTAAAAAACCTGGATAAATGACAAAGGTCTACTTTAAGACATTTTTCTAGAATAACAGAGAAATCATGGCCTTCTAATCATGTGAAAAATCCAAACTCAAGGCGATAGAATTAATTTCAACTTTCCGACCCTACATTGAGTTTCTGAGGCTGCTAAATAGTGATTGGGAGGGTATGTATTTTTCTCTAATAGAGTGGCTGGTGGATTTGAACCTCTGACTTTTTGGTTAGCAGAGCAACATACAACACACTCCATCAGCAGATCTTCTTTACCTGGAAAGCAAGTCATACCCCAACTCAAACCCACTGCTGACAGGTTGATTCTGACTTCTCCCTTTATGGGATTTCCAAGATTGTGAGTCTTAGTGGAAGCAAACGGGCTCATCTTTCTCACACAGAGCTGCTGCCTGAAACCAACGCAATTCTTCTACAATCTTCTTTGCCCATTGTCCAACTGTTAAATGCAGATAAAGCAACTATAGCTTAGATCAGATACATATCAAACACCCTGTTGTTGTTGTTGTTGTTGTGTACCATCAAGTCAGAACCAACCTGTAGCTGACTCACTGGCAAATTTTCAGAGGAAATTAATCAAATGGGAGGACACTTCCTTCTCCTGCCAGGCAGCTTGTGGATTTGAACCACATGCCTTAGGGATTGCAGAACTGCTTCTTGCCACTAGGTCACCAATGCTCCACTACTACAACCATTAATATAAAACCTTTCCTTTTTCTTATCTCTATCTCTGATGCACATTAGTCTCACAGTGGCGCAGGATTTTCTGGAAAGAATTTTAAACCTCCTCTAGTCCAACCCCCATTATTTTGACAAATGGAGAAATTGAGGCTCAGAGAGCGAAAAACCTAAAATCACACATTGCGCTAGAATCAGGGATTCTTTGTTCTGAGTTCCCTGAATTTCCCCTGTGACCTTCTTCTCCACACCCTTTCCAATACTGAAGGCTTGACCCAAACATCACCCCCACTATGAAGAAAGACTCACCCCACGCCTCGTTGCTGTCCCACACCTTGCTGGTGCCCCACGCCTCGCTGGATCCTGTCCACTCTTCCATCAGAACACCTGTAATATTTGCTTGATTTGTTTGCCTAGGGCCCTGAGTACACTAAGAAAGGAGGCTGGTGGTACAAACAACTAAGTGCTCAGCCATTAACTAAAAGGGGCGCTCTGGTGGCATAGCCCATAGGGATTTGCGCTGCTAACCTAAAGTTGGCACCTCTCTAGGGGTTCAAATCCACAAGCAGCCCCTATGGAGAAAGATAGGCAATCTCCTGACATGTGGTTTACAGCCTCCATAACCCAATGAAGGATCAGATATAAATTGGTTTGAACTTGATGGCAGTGAGTTGAACTGATTAACTGAGGGTTAATGGTTCAAACCCACTCAGCTATGCAGGAGAAAGACCTGGTGATTCACTCCCCAAAAGACTACAACCAAGAAAACCCGATGGAGGTCACGGCGCTATGGCCCCCACGAGGAAGGGTAGTAAGAAGAAGGAGTGTTCTGCCATCAACAGAGTGCTGACCAGAGAACACCATCAACACTCAGAAGCACATCCATGGAGTGGGTTTTAAGAAGCGTGCCCCTTGGGCTCTCAGGAGATCTGGAAATTTGCCATGAAGGAGATAGGGACACCAGATGGTCATGTCGACACCAGGCTTAACAAAGTCAAAAGAATAAGTATGTCCCATTCTGCATCCACGTACAGTTGTCCAGAAAATGTAACGAGGATTAAAAATCCCCCCAAAAAATCCGAACACACTGGCTACTTATGTACCTGTCACCACTTTAAAAAATTTGTTGTTGTTGTTATGTGCTGTCGTTTGCGACTCATAGCGACCCTATGTACAACAGCTCTAAACCCTGCTCTATCCTGTGCCAATCACACTGCCTCTGACACACCCATCCTGAGTACCCCAGTCACTGAATCAATCCACCTCATAGAGGGTCTTCCCTGCGCTGTCCCTCCACCCTACCAAGCATGATGTCCCTCTCCAAGGACCTGTCTCTCTTTACAACATGTCAAAAGTATGTCAGATGGAGCCCCAGAATCCTTGCCTCCAAGGAGTAGCCTGGTTTAACCCTCCCCAGGATGAATCTGTTTGTTTTTTTTGGCAGTCCATGGTACATTCAATACTCTTCTCCAGCACCACAGGTCAAAGGCGTCAATTCTCCTTCTGTCCTCCCTAGTCATTGTCCAACTCTCTGATGCATAATAAGTGATTGCAAAGACCATGGCCTGTACCGTCAATGTGGATGAAAACTAATAGCTGATTTTCAAATAAAATTATAAAACTGCCAAAGAAAGTAACACGGTGGGGAAGAGCTATTCTGTCACTTCAAGTCACTGCAAGCAGAAACAGACTCTGAAACAATGCTGAGAGCAGGGACCAGACCTGAGAGCAAAGACCAGACCTGTTCTTCAAATGCCCAGTACCTCCTCAGAAGTCAGTGACTCAACATTAAACACTCAAAGTACGGCCTTTCTTTATAATGCTCATCTGTTTTTGAACGAATTGGAGGCAATTAATAATTAATGCACTAATAAAATAAGATAGGCAGTAAAAACCCCCTTTGTGACCTCTAGACTTTACACCTTCAGGTGGCAACACCATTATCTACTTCCCACTGCCATTTTTTCTTTTTTATTAAGACACAGTTTCAGAATGAAGAGAAAGACAGTTAAAGGTGAGAGAATGTGAGATAAGTGAGAACACTTAGATGAAATCTGGTGGGGTATATCACTCATTTTAATAACAAGCTCAAACTGCAATCTAAAGTTAAAAACCAGCACTTCCAAAATAATATCCAGAACCAATTACTACTTGTAAAAGCAGGTGCTCCCATAACCCAGCTACAAGAAATAGTTTGAAAATGAATTTATTTATTTCTTTTTCCCAATAAGAATTAAAACTAAAATGGATGTTTCAATTATCCTGAAGTTTTATTTCCAAGAACACACAATTTCCTGGGTGTTTTAGATAAAAGACTACTGTAGAATTATAGATATTGATATTACTGAATTTCAAATCTATTTTATGCAGATAGTCTCAAGGAATAACTTGAAGTGGGGGGAGGAGGAAGCAGGGGTTGAAGGAGGGAAGAAAGAAGCAGATTCATAAAGCCTTAAAGATCAGTCTAATCTTACCGTTTCACAGGTAAAATCAAAGACCTGAAAGTGTTATCACAGATTTCTAAACCATTCTTCTCTGAATAATTTCCATTTTATCATTTCTTTATACTTTCTTCTCCCAAATATGAACATTTGGCCAGAAATATAAGTTGTATGGGTCACTTCACAGGGCAGGGTTTCAAGCAGGCTTCTATTTTAGACTTGGTGACTGACACATAGTTCATTTTTGGATCTCTGATTTCATATTCTTGAGTCCCCGCTTCCCCTTTAAGAACACAACTACTCCTGCTTAAATCTCATCCCGAAGCTGCTTCTAGACTTCCTCAGTGTTTACAAAACAAGGGGATCTGCTAGAAAACCATAGTAATAGGAATGGGCTTAAGAGCAGCACAGCTAATAAAAATCTCCAAACTGCTACCTCATCAAAAGGAGACTCGGCATACCATCAAACCCAAAAGAACAGACAACAGCTAGCCAGGAAGGGGCTCTGAGGTCTTCTTTTGGGTAAAGTCCTAGTGTAAATAGATATAATTTCAAGATATCCATCCTGTTCCATTAACTGTAAATACAAAGATCTAGAAGAGAAATGTGAGTTGGTTGTGGTTTGTGGTCACCAAGAGTCTGCAAAGAACCAAACTGGTAAAGGATACACGATCACAAGGCCCTAACCCCGAGACCCACAGCTGTTAACTCCCTGTTTCTATCTTTGGCATCTCAGAGCAGCTAGGGAGGCTGCGGAAGCCAGTGTTACTAGCACTTCCATCCGCCTTTCCACTTCTTGCAACAATCTGTTCTTTAGCTAAGATTGACCACTGGATCAGCATTCTTTTAGCTGAACCATTTGGTTTTTTAACAACTTGAGCTGAAAAATGTAAGTAATTTCATCTTCTTCCTGTTTAGATCAATGGAAACAACTGGCTCTTTGGGTCTTTAAAGATCTCCTGGACGACCTACAAGCAAATATATTCTAATAAATAAAGGTAGTTGTCTATGAAAAATTGCTCTGCTCTTTATTGTTCCTCACAGGGGCTTAGTATCAAATCACAGAAATAACTCACATCAGGATTGCTTGCCACAAAATAGCCCATTTTTATCTCCGGGCTTAATTGAAAGCTAATAAGAAGCTTGGCTGGGTGAATCGTGGTCGTTTGTTCTTTAATTCCATGTCAACGTCAGTGACTCTTCCCATCAAGGAAGTCAACTTTATAATCAAGTCTAAATAATTTTTTTAAGCATTAAAAGCACAAAGCACATGCAATGAAAATTCTCTGTAT